TATTCAATGTCGATATTGTTGCCATCACTACCATCACCTCATTTATCATTAGTACGATACATAAGCCGACGAAATGATTGTCGATGAAGTGATTGTCGACGAAGTGATTGTCGACGAAACAATTTTCGACGAAATAATTTCGACGAAATGGGTGTCGACGAAATAATTGTCGACGAAATGATTTTCGACGAAGTAAACGGGACCGAATGTTTAAAAGAGTTTTACATCAAATTTTAGAAGTAATATTTTCAACAAATGTTATTTAAATGACTGAACGAGAGTTAAATAATTGGTTGTTTTTCACCTAATTACTATGGTCCATCAGAAAATAACAGTAGCAATAATACTGAATTGATTATGAAATAGTTGAAGCCAATGAAAATAATTGCATCCAGGCTGAATCTGACAAAACTGAAAAACGTACACATGTAAGTATACCAGTTCGTTCACTCACCATCATCTCCTTACTTAAATAAGAATGTGTGATAAATAAGTAAAGCTATACTATCATATTATTTACTGTCACTAATATTAACGATAGAGATCAAAGAACATCTCAAAAAGAGATAAATAATACGATGAAGTCATTAACATTGAAAATGTCAAAATAGATATATACTCATCTAGGGAAGGAAGTAAGTCTCTGTCTTCGTAAAGAAGTACATATCATTAATATTGAGTCAATGGATAAATTTAGTTGAATATTTCTGACATGATCATACATACTACTATATTGATCCAACGCATTGAATTGATTAATGGTGCGAATATGGCGACGGCGTACCTATTCTCGTTTCTTATATTAAAAACTTTTCTTATCATAATGACGAGGGCCTGATCGTTTATCACAGTTTCAAAAGGATTATCAGGGATTATTTTTCTTATTGTGAAGTAAAAAATGGTGGCTTTACTTAAATAAATGCCGTGAAAAAGACTCTTGTGTTCTTTGTGATCAATGAGATTGGTCAAATGACATTAGGCATATTTTCGAATATATATGTTGCTATTACTATGCAAAAAAAAATAGATCAAAAAGGGAAAAAATTTATATACTCTAGCTTGTGTTCATTAATAACAATCAATATTCTTCTATCAAAGCTAATCATTTATTCCACTATAAAGAATTATCTGTGGCCTATTAAGATCTAGCCAAATATCAATGGCGTTTAACTCATGATCAACTATAGAGAGAACTTCTAGCGTAAACATTTGACTTGGATGTCAAACTTTTGCTTGTTGTCGTATTAGTACATTCAAAAGTACATGTACTTGAATGTCGCAACAAAAGACTTACACTAATAAGTGAAAAGGAGGAGCGACTCTTTTGCATTTTGATTATCATTCATACGAGATACTAATCCACAATAAATTCAATGATCGAAATTCACATTTTCTCTTTTGTTTTTTTGGAACAAGTGAATCATTAGTCAAACTGACAATGTCGCAAATAATAAATGACATATTTTCTATACATTGTGCGTGAACTATTGATTTTGATTAAATAATCTCAAAAATTTACGAAAAACAATAATGCACATAAATTGGAGAGCAGTAATATCGTCAATGTCCAGAAGAAAATATTTAAATATTCTATTTGTCTTTTTTGGGTTGTAAAAATACTACAATGACCGAGACATTTTTTAAAAAATATACAAAAGAGAAATAGCTATATCAATTTAACTGAGTAAGATTATAAATAGGTATTAGTTATATTTTACTTATTTTGTTTTAACTCAACATAAATTATGTTGACAGTGTTTTAGCAAGGCAGATTCATTCACGACAAACGGAAACCTAAAGACCAATCTCATTTTAGACTGCTGCAAATAATTCATAAATGCAATTAAGAACAACAAATGTGTATGCTTCAATTCAGACTATATATATTTTTTAAGATTATTTTTTGTTTTTATATAATTAAAAGATTAAATTAAAAATTGAAAATTATAATAAATACAATGATTAGATGATGCATATAAAATAATAATAATGAATGAATGAATATTTTTTTTTCTAGATTAATCAAATGTTTTTTCTAGGTTAGTTAATATCTTTTTTTCAAGATTAATGATTTTTTGGCTCTTTATAATTCTTTAACATCAAACTACTAACAACTACAGTTGTAGAACTAGCAGCCATAGCTAAACTAGCATATTCAGGTCTTAAACCATGCTTGAGTAATGGAAAGAATGCACCAGCAGCAATGGGTATAGCCAATGAGTTATAAATGTAAGCCCAGAAGAAATTCAACCTAATCCGCCAAATAATAGTTTTTGATAATGATAACAAGGTTATCAATGAGGAAAGAGTTGATCGTGTCAATATTACCGAAGATGATTCAATTGCTACATCTGTTGCACTTGCGATTGTGATTGGTAGATTTGATTGAGCCAAAGCCGGTGAATCATTAATACCATCCCCGATCATTGCTACTGTTGCTTGTTTAATTATAGTAGTACTTTTGATATTGTTATCATGGTGTTTAAAGCTGAAACAACTTAAAAATTTATTAAAATAAAAGGATATCAATGAATTATGATTAGTTTGCTTTGTTGTTGTTGTTGTTGTTGTTGATATAGTTGCACCTTTACGTTGTAACCATTTGATTTTGTCAGCTTTCATTTCAGGCGTCACCTCTGAAAAAATATTATCTATACCCAATTGCTCACCAATAGCTTTAGCAGTAATAGGATTATCTCCAGTTATCATCCAAATCTCAATACCAAGTGATTTTAATTTTTCAATTGTTTTCTTTGAATCAGGCCTTGGTGTATCTGCAATACCAATTTGTGCTGTAATATAACCATTATAAGTTGTTGTTGTTGTCGTCGTCGTCGTTGGTAATTTAATTTCGTCATCATGTTTAGATGAAATGATTCGCGACACTCCCATTAAGACCACGGAATAACCTGATTTTTGCCATTTATGTAAAATGAATGATCCATCTTTTTTGGGTTTTTCGTTTGTTGCAACAGCTGGATAAATACAATTGTTTTCACGCATCCATTTTTCATTACCAATAAAAACTTTATATTTTGCCGAGTATTTACTATTAACGGTCATTTCATCATTCTCATTCTTATTCTCATTATCATTGTTATTACCTTCGTCATTGTCATTTTCATTAACAACATCATTATTGACATCAACATCATCAAAACCATCATAACAACTACTATTATTGGTTAATGCTGATGGTAACAGATCGTTTACTAGAGGGTTATTACTTCGAATATTAACAACAGCCTCAAGGCCTTTACCGGAAACTTCAGTGATAGAATCTAACTCTATGAAATTATTTGGTTGTTTAGCAAATGACTCATCAATGTGTTGCACAACGGCACGAGCCAACGGATGATCACTAGACGATTCCATCAATCTAATGATTTCCATCAATACTGATAATTTATATGTTTGACCCTCATCAGATTTCTTATTATTATACAAAAATTTGGCCGCCACAACTTTCGGTTTGCCATATGTTAACGTGCCAGTCTTATCAAATGCTATAGTATTAAGTCGATAAGCCATCTCAATCGCCTCGCCACCACCCTTGATCAAAATACCATGTTTTGCAGCCACACCTGTTCCAACCATGATTGCAGTAGGTGACGCTAGGCCCATTGCACAAGGACACGCGATCACTAATACGGCAATTGCAAAAAATAAAGAAAACACTGTATTATTGAGATCATCCGTGATCCAATCACTAGGCACTATTCCAGAATTGGTTAATGCGAACCAGATAAAAAAGTCCAAAATGGCAATTGATATTACTGTTGGGACGAAAACCTGAGCAATCTTGTCAGCTAATTCTTCAATTGGTGCTTTTTTTGACGATTGAGCTTCTTGAACCAATTTTATTATGCGTGATAAAGTTGTATCGCTGCCAACTCGTTCTGCTTTCATCCAAATCATTGATGTCAGATTTACTGTTGCTGTTATTACTGGCTCGTCTACTGTTCTTGTAATTGGAATTGATTCACCTGTTATCATTGATTCATCCAACGTTGTTATGCCTTTATATATTTTTCCTAAAAAAAAAAGATTTTAAAATAATGATATTGTTATTAATAAATTAAATAATAATAATTAGATAACTTACCATCACACGGAATTCTTGCACCAGGATTTACTTTGAGAATGTCACCAACTAAATTAAAAAAATAATACATTTCGATTAAAATGATGAACCTTTCATCCTCAGATATATTTCATTATTATCAAATACCAAGTACCTTGAACTAATTCTAAATCAATTTCTTTCTCATCAGTGATCATGTTATTTTCTTTATCATAAGTGATTTCAACTAGTACAGCCTTTTCTGGTTGCAACTCCATTAACTTTGTGATCGTTTCGAAAGTTTTACCTTTGGCTTTCAACTCCATCCACCTTCCCAACCAAATAAACGTAATCAAAAAAATACTAGTCTCAAAAAATTGATAACCTGCCTCGGGGCTACTTCTAAAGACTGGAATCAACACATTGATCATTGATCCTAAATATGAAACAGTCGTACCCAACGCCACCAAGGTGTCCATATTTGCTTTTCGTGTATAATATAATGATTTGAAACCTTTTACGTAAAATGGATAGCCAAGTATGAACTGGACAGGAGTTGCTAACAAGAAAAGAATTAATGTCTCAACATCCAGGCCAGTGATTATTTGATAGGTTAATAGTTCATTAATAGGATTTGGTCCGATCATCATGAAAACCATTACTATCAAAAAAGTTGGTATTGCAAATAATAATGATACTAAAAATCGATTTCTTAAAAGTTTTTGTTCTTTCTCTGTTTTTTGACGAATTCGATTTCCAAATTGCAAATCGTTATTGTTGGTTTTTAACAATTGTGATTCAAACCCGATATCACTAATATGTCGCATTAGATCACGTACACCAATTTTTGATTGATTGTGTTTTATGGAAGCCTCGGTTGTTAATAGGTTAATGTTTACTTGTGCTACACCATGTAATTGTAAAAGAGTTGTCTCAATGGTGCCTATACATGAAGCGCAACCCATACCACCAATTAAAAATTTTGTTATAACATTAGCGGAATCTTCTGTTGCGTCATTGTTATTGGCAGTATTAGCAGTTTTTTTAGATTTTTCATCAATTTCAATTTCAATTTGTTTCTTATTATTTGAACTATTATTATCAATGTTGGTTTCTTCAACGTAATCAACCCCAAAACCAATCGAAGTTATAGAATCTTTGATTCGATCAACGGTTAAATTATTAGCATCAAATTTTAACGAAGCATTACCAGTTAAAAAATTTACGCGAACACTAGGTTTTATGATTCCTGAAAGATTTTGTAAAGTACTTTCGATTGTACCAGAACAGCTTTTACAACTCATACCAGATATTTCTAAATTGAGTTTTTTTATCATTGTTGCTGGTAAAGAAGAAGGGAAAAAAGAGATTTTTTACAGATAATTTACAAGTGAAAACGATGATGAAGATATCAAGAGAAAAGATGAATCAGTAAGATTTGGAGACAAATAATTTGAAAAAAAATTTTTTTTAAAAAAATCGATTATATAAGTATATATATACTTTTTTTTTTTAAAAAAAAGTCAAAATTTGCATTCGCAATGATTATCTAAAAGAAATTAGTATTAATAATACATCAGTCATTATATCTATCGTAAGCAGAAAATTATTTGTAGCTCGGCAAAAATAGCTCATATTAAATTATTAAATCAAAGAAAAGAAAGAAGGCGTGCGCTTTTTTTTGTGTGAATTTCTGAATTTATCATCAATATTAATTTATTTTAACAATAGCGATATTCATCATTTGGTAGCAAAATTAACTCATGAGGGATTTTTGCCTCAATAAATCTGTATAATGACAATGCTATTACTATTGTATGTATAGAATATATGTTGTACAACGTAAATTGTACGTCAGATGTTCATATATAGTAATAGAGTTGAACCTTGTTACAACGAATTTTGTTACTTTAATAATAAAAAACTTTGTTACACCGAATTTATTAATAAAATCTTATTATATACAACGAACAACGAATTTTTGTAAGATTTTTTGACATAATAATAATAATAATTACTAATCGCATTACAACGAATTCACGTGATAAATGACCAATAAACATGCGTTAAAAATCGTACGATTAAAAGAATCATATAATCCATCGTTGTGATAAAAAAACATTGTCCATAACTTGAAAGATTGTATCCATGTTTTATAATTGTAATAAAATAACTTGTCGATCATTTATTGACCTCATTACACGATTATTTATATTAATTTTGCAATAATCATATTAGTAAAAATTAGTTGGTCATATGAAGATTTTAATTTAAAAAAATATATACAGTGGGCAACAGCAAAATTTGAGTTTTAAAATTTATCACGTGTACAAATTTTAGCCAATAAAATTTAAGAAAATTATCATGATATACGAAGAGTATTCAAACGCAGTTTTTCGAAAATTCCACAAAACCTTTATAATAACTATATGAAATTTATATTATTTGATAGCTCAGGTTCTCATATTTATGCATATAAATTTAATGTTTTTGTATTATCTAGATAGAGCTTTAATTCAAAGATTTGCTGATTGCGGCTTGGATCAACAATGGGCTTCATTAGCTTTTTGTAAATTTGAAAGAAATGATTTTATTTTTTTTGTGTGTGATTTGGCATTACAAACAGCGGCGAATTTTGAAAATTATATATAAAATATTACAAAATAGTGAAATTTTAAACCCTTATAATTTTTGCTATTAAGTTTAAAATAAAAAATCTGGCTGCAACGAATTATTCCCTGACTTCTAAATAATAATCGAATTTCAATTAATAATAATGATGACATAGCAAAAATCAGAAAACACAAATATTTTGCATGCATATTCTACAGGACCTAGGCTACAAGCTATATATACTTATTATGTGTGTTTTTGCATTATTGATTCTCTGAAATTTGCTGTAGTGTATCATTTGTTCTAATAAAATCTATTTGAATCTACTAAAACAAATAAACAAATGGATAAATTTATTATTATCAAAAAAAGAAATAAAGAAACTTTAAAGTATATAAATATGGACTGAGATTGATGTATCAAAAAATTTTTGCAA